AGATCCGAAGGATATTTTTTTCCAAAAAAGTTGATCGACTTTCTCAGGAGGTCGGAGCTACTGGAGGAAATATACAAAGGTGTGAGCCACAATAGACCAAAGAGTCGCAGTGGAGGATCGTTATTGATGCACTCACAAGAAATCTAACCTAACCTGTAAATATTTCAATCGGTATGACCTACTGCAACGTCAGAAAAGTATACGAACACCCCTAAAAAAGTTCTGAGAAAAGATTTAGGACATCTGAAGACAATTTGTGGATAACTTCAAATATGACATATAAAATGACCTAGGAGGTCATTTAGTGGTCAAGTTTGTAAACTAAGATAGCAACCACCATTTTTTAAATATTATGAAAGTTTTTTCAAAAAAATGCCTGGTTGCCAAGTTTTCGAGGTGATTGTATACTTTACAGTAGATCATACTGATTGTTTCACTTATGACTGCTTGACCTGCTGAGGTCATTGTCTAAGTTATACTTGAGGTCATCAACGAATTGTTTTTTGATATTGTGAAACCCTTCTCAAATCATTTTTTTTTTCAAAAAAATGTGCGGTTGTCAGGTCTTTCGTGTTTTCGGGTACTTAATAGACACTCTGTATAAGAGTAGTATACACATGTGAGGTTTGTGCAGATGAGTAGCACATCCTCCAAACTAAGAAGGTATTAAACAAACCTCAATTGTGGATTGTAGGTATATAATTTTTTATTAAATTATAGCCATAGATTCGAATGGAAATACATCATCTGCCACTGGTAGGTATTGGGATGGGGATATGCACCTACTTTTACGTCTAGTAAGGATTATACGACTCTCTCGCCATAATTATAAATATTCTTGAAAAATGTTCGCTATTTGTCAGGAATAATGTTCTTCGAGAATATAAACGGATGAGTTGTTGAGGAAAGACTTCTCTGACACTTATTATTTTCAATACCGTACGTAAGAAAATAGTCATCTGAGCTCATAGGGCACTGTTCCATTATGCCCGCGAGTATGTCTTTATATGTACCTATTAGCTATTTGATAATCACCATACTTCTCATTGAATTTTTTGGTATTTTTCCTCTGCATATGTACAAGAAGCTTGGTAAGGTTCTTTCTTGGCACTAATTTAGCTTACATTTTCTTGCACTAGGCAAACATTGCCCTAACTGGCAAATAATAATGAATATAGTATTCAGTTTCAGTAAGAATTCTTTTTTTAGAAAGCCTAGTCACGAGATGCGTTCAAATTCAACTCTCACTATTGGGCCTCTCGGAAAGCGCACTTGGGTAACGAAGAAAATAGCAACCATAATTTGGAATGCTCCTAGGAATAGACGGAAAAATCGACTTTTCCAATGACCTGACGCTTTTATTTTTTCTTATGGAAAATCGGATTTTTTGTACAGACAAATTTTGTTGACTGTAACAAGCATTATTTTTAGCATGACAGAACCTCCCTACATGACCAATAATATTAAAATACCTTCCAAGACAAGATGTGTGCATCAGTTTAGATATGACGGATACTTAATGTCAAAACCTTGCGTTAAATTGCTTCTACCAGAACTAAAAACTCTATTTACTCTGCAAAAATCCGATATGCCGCCCATAGAAAAAAGTTTAGGCCACCTTGTAGAAAACAAACAGTTGTAATGTTAAAGTATAATTTACTGTAGAATCTCATATCAGTAGTTTCAGCAAAAATTAAAAACGGTTTTGGTTAAATTAAGTTTTCCCCGTATATCTCCTGGAATATTATGAATTTCAAAACAGTCCAAGTGCCAATTTTTTAAGTTTCGTAAATACGTCCATCTGACTGGCTTCGTATCGCTTACCATTTCCCAGAGCTCAATAATAAGAGTCGAATTTGAGACACTCGGCAATGTATCGTAATGTATATTTTAATTTTTTGCACGTCTGTTTCAAAAACAACATTCTAGAGGGTTAAATAACCATTTAAATAGAAAGTGACCAGTAATTAAATTTAAATTTAGTGACTGCTCTCAATTTGTAATTTCTTCGGTACGCTACTGAGTAACCGCAGTACATTCATCGGCCTTGACTGGCTAGGCAGGAACCGAGAAAATCCATTAAAACTTTTCCAAATTACGGAACTTCAATGCACTTGATAAATATGGGGAAAATATGCTTATAATTTAGTAAGTACTTCCGGATCTTTAAAGCCCTTAATCATATTTTTGGAAAAAAATCATAGCCGATATCATGGACGGGCGATTTGAATAGATACAGCGCATTTAAGATAAATACGTTAAGTACCAATATAATATGCAGTTATAAGTTTCTTAGTAGTTAATAGCGAAATAAAAAAAGAGAATTTCCCAAAGAATACGATAAAACTCACGATTTAAAAGCAGTAGCACTTTCATCATTTCCTTATTACTGGAGAAGTTGCTCGGTTCCATCTTTAGGTACGATACTATTTTTCACCGCATAAACTTCAACAATACTTAATTATTCATGCCCTTATGCAAAGGTGAATATTTGACATCATACATATACTAAATGACATATAAATCCGAACACCCAGTTTAAATGGTTTTATTTTAATAAAAGTTGGTGAATGTACTTATCTTACTGTAAATAACAAGTGAAAAAATTTTCAGCCTTATCAGTTGGACATTCCGGTTTTTATACTGCTTTTTTTTAATTCACTAACACTCTAAAAATGAATATTTCAGCCGCAGTAAAGAATCAACGTTGGCGGATTTTGGTTCTTGACATCCTTTACGATCGGTTACGATGCCTAGAGTACGGAGACCTGTACTATTTCGTCAACTTAGTGAGTTTGATAGGGGCCGTATAGTGGGACTTCGGGAAGCTGGACTTTCTTTTCGGGCAATTGCAGTTAGAGTGCAAAGAAGTGTAGACACTGTGGTTAGGTGTTGTCAGGCATGGCTTCGAGAAGGCCGTACGCAAAGTGCAAGGGGCACTGGACGCCGCCGTAGAACAACAGACCGTGAAGATCGCCGCCTAAGATTATTGGCCTTAAGGGACCGTTTGTCCACTACCAGGTCCATTGCAAATGAATGGTTTGCAGAACACGGAAGACCTATTGGCATGCGAAGTGTTTACCGACGAATGAGAAGTTTTGGCTTGTTTTCATACCGGCCACACTGGGTCCTCCCTTTAACTCGAGAACACCGACGTAATCGCCTTGAGTGGTGCAGACAACGGTCACTCTGGGATCAGGAATGGAACAGTATTGTCTTTAGTGACGAGTCTCGATTTTGTTTAGGCATGCACGATGGTCGTGCCAGGGTTAGAAGGCGACGTGGTGAAAGGAGGAATCCACAGTTTTTTGTTGAAAGACATGTTCATCACACTGTTGGAGTTATGGTTTGGGGTGCTATAGCTTATGGTTCCAGGTCACCTTTAATCTTCATCAGAGGTAACATGAACGCGCAGCGTTATATCCACGAAGTTCTAGAACCCCATCTTTTACCCTATCTTGACACCCTGGCAGATCCAACTTTCCAACAAGATAATGCCCGACCACATGTTGCAAGAGTCACAATAGACTTCTTTCAACATAATGATGTCACATTGTTACCATGGCCACCAAGATCTCCCTACTTATCCCCAATTGAGCACGTGTGGGATATGATGGGTAGGAGATTGGTCAATTTGCAACGTCCTCCTCAGACTCTAGAAGCACTTCGAGAGGAGTTGGTGGTTGCCTGGAATGAGATACCACAGGAGGACATTGACCACCTGATCAGAAGCATGCCTAGGCGCGTTGGAGAATGCGTAGCACATCAGGGTGCATCCACACATTATTAAAGGTCAAAGGGCTTTAAAGCAGTGCAATCATTTTGAAATTTTTATCATTTACTTATTATGCTTCATTAAGTACTTATACAAAATTTTATTATTCGGATTTATATGTCACTTAGTATATTTTGCAAAATGGAAGAAATTACTAAGACGTACAGAAATTCCCAAACCAATGACAACAAATATTTAAACCTGTGCTGTGTTATATTTCACGTCTACAAAGTTTTCAATGGTCGGAATAACGGTTTGTTGGGTGATAGGGTAGGCTATCTTAACACCCATAAAGTTACTAAATTGCTGTAACTTTGTATTCACTGTCGTTTTTTATTAGCACGGCAAGGTGATCGACATCGTATGCATAAAGTTTATAATGGCTTGAGTTAATTGGAAATATATCCAGGTGATTGCTCGAAGATAAGACCCGGATTGGAAGATGTGTTTAATTAGATATAAAGGGAGGAGTTAGGAAGACGATTTTTATTTAGTTTGCGACATTTTTGATCGATAAGAGGATGTTATCTTTATGTAAAGTCTTCTGATGATGCTTACAAATTACGCAAGAACAAGAATAATGATTCATCGTTACTGTAAATTCTCTATATATGCAATCTACAGGGTGTTTCTAAAACATGTCTTGAAAATTCAAAGTTTCATTATTTGAACCATACTATACTATATACAAAATGTTTGGTTTTGGTTAGTATGAATTACATATGAAGTTTTAAAAACTGTGCAAAGCGACTAGGTATCTTAACATTTATAAGTGGATTTTTTTAATACGTATAATAAACTTTCACATCAAGTGAAGTGCTGAGACAGTGGTAAGTCCGTTTTTTTAATTGTTTGCATTTTACAAGTACATTATCAAATAATGAAATAATACCTAAGAGCCAAAAATAACAAGCTCCATCTTTATTTACACTGCGTTTCGTCGAAATTTGCGTCTGGCATTGCGACGTTGTCAGATTTTATTTTACTTTAAAGTCGCTTTTATCTAAAAAAATGCCGTTTTGACCCCCATATTATATGAAACTTTTTGCTTCTTTCAACCCCCCCTATCACCCATTTAAATAATGACTATCATAACGTTTACACCCAGTAAAACAATTTCGGTCAAACTGCGTAATTTCCCGGACTGCTGTAAAAACATATTTATATTTTCTTACATTTTTCTTGGAAAGAAATTCCCTGTCAGAAAGGCATTAGGTCAAATTACATAAATCCTCTTTCTGCAGGATTTCTTCCCGAAATGCACGAAACACCAAATAATTCTCTTTGACAGTTGTTCATCCGGAAATTCCCATTCTGGGAATCAATTAAAAAGTTTTTAATATTTGACAGCAACATCCAGGACAGCATCTTTTATTTTCGGTCCTATTAAAAAGTTTAGCGCTCTCTCCTGGTTCAGTCGCTGTGCGCGCTGTGCCGCCGCCGGTTCCAAGACGAGTGGGTATAATAAAAACCGGAATGATGAGGAATATTAAAGTTGGGAGGCATTTCAATATTTGAGAATTCAAACTTTATAATGACCCGCTGGCTGAAAATAACAGAAAATTGTTTTCCGAGACCCCGGTTCTCTACTTTGCTCCGATTGTCTCCAGCCAGAGGTGCATCCGACAAGGGGGATTATTGTTGGAACCTTGTGATCTTTACTGTAATTTGAGAATGCAGAATAATGGCATTCTCTTTCCTTCATAAAACGCCTATCCTTTGCTCTTTAAATTTGTACGAAGGATTTCGTCAAGGTCGTGCGCCAACAAATTCAATTTTTTTAATCTGACTCCTGAAGCGGTAGTTAACTCTTTTCTAGATCCTAGAAGATAAAAAATGCCTTCCTCAACACCTTATCTTGAGTCCAAGCACCAGAAAAGTAAAACAATTGTAATACAGTAGCTACGAGGGTGGTCCCAGAAGTACCCGCCTAACGAAGAGAACACAAAATTTTTGTAAAAAAATGTATTTATTATTCAACATAATCTCCTTTGAGCTCTATACACTTCTCCCAGCGATGTTCAATAAGTTCGATACCCTTTTTATAATAAGAACTGTCTTGCTCCTCAAACTAGCCATTAACTGCCGACATCACTTCTTCATCGTTGGAAAATCTTTGACCAATGAGCCATTTTTTAAAGTTTGGAAACAGAAAATAATCCGAGGGGGCTAAATCTGGTGAACAGGGTGCATGAGGTAGCAATTCAAACTTTAGTTCGTTAATTTTGGCCAATGCAATAACGGATTTGTGAGCTGGTGCATTGTCTTGATGAAACAACACTTTCTTCTTAACCAAATGCGGCTGTTTTTGCTTGATTTCATCGCTCAAACGTTGCAATAAGTTCGCATAATACTTTTCGTTGATAGTTTTACCGTTTTCAAGATATTCAATGAAAATTATACCACGCGCATCCCAAAAAACCGACGCCATAACCTTGCCTGCAGATGAAACGGTCTTCGCCTTCTTTGGAGCCAGTTGTCCCTTTTGAGTCCATTGCTTTGATTGTTCTTTTGTCTCTGGTGTGAAGTCATGGACCAAGTTTCATCCAAAGGTATAAAACGACGCAAAAATTCTGCTTTGTTGCTGTGAAACTTCGCTAAACACTCAATTGAAACATCTTCACGACACTGTTTTTGCTCGATTGTAAGCAATCGCGGCACCCATCCTGCACACAGCTTTCTCATGTCCAAATTTTCAGACAATATGCGATGAACCGCATTTTTTGAGATGCCTTTTTTCTACTATGTCTGCTAGCTAGCGCGCTTTCAGTCGACGATCATTCAGTGCCGCTTTGTGAATTTTCTTCACCATTTCTGGAGTCGTCACCTCATTTGGTCGACCACTGCGATGCTCGTCCTGGCAGCTCATACGGCCTCGTTTAAACTCCGCTACCCAATATTTTACTGTTGTAAACGAAGGAGCAGACTCACACAGAATAGAATCCAGTTCAGCTTTTATATTGGTTGGGCTGAGGCCTTTGAAATAAAGATATTGTACCACATAACGATGACCAATTTTCTCCATTTTCTCAAATTCACTGAAAACGTTCAGTATTGATGGCTGCCAAACAAATACTAAACAAACTTGACACATATGCTTCATAGGTTGCATACTTTCTAATACAATGATATTTTTCAAACACCTTTCGCCATCTCTAGGTCAAGCCGGGTACTTCTGGGACCACCCTCGTACTTCACTACATAGTTTTCAAGTGGGCTGAATTTTTCACGCTAGAATATCAAATGCTAATATTAAAGTTGATTGTATTCGATTTTTTCTTATATAGGACAAAAAGGCGTAAAGTAGCTCCGACAGAAGTTAGCCCTCATAGAAAAAAATTAACTACGAACATGTTTAACAAATAAATTAATTAGATCAAGTCCCTAGTCGCCACCCAGCTGACAAAGTTGGGATCAAAAAATGTCTGCCGTATAGAAAATTCTTTATCATTCAAGTCTTAAAAGCAAAAGTATGGGCAAGTCTAAGTGTGAAATATGTGCATCGCCCTCAGTCCCAACTTATTACCCCTAAAAAAAAATGTATATATATAAACCGACTGGGGGCTGCTAAAACGAAACCTGAGTGATTTTTTTTTTCTTTTTGCCTGTAGTAACTTTGTGTGAAAATTTCATCAAACACAGAGCCGTACCTACCGAGGTATAGGGGGCCAGGACAGACAGACATGTGAAAAAACCGACAGACTGACCGACAAAAAATTGGTGGCGTGGTTTTTTGTGATACACAGGTCATTCATGTAGTATCAAAGAAACATAATATCTCAATTTCAAAATTCTTCGCAATAAGAATACTTCCTCTATAAGTGGCCTGGGAAGGAAAAGGAAAGAAACCTTTCCTTTTATGTTCAAATACTTTTGAATATTAGGTTTACGTACACCGCTGTCTCGATTTCGTACTTATTTAAATAGTATCGGTAAACAGAGAAAGTTTTGTGGAGTTTCTATGGTCGTTGTTTCTTAATGAAGTTTGAAAAGGTCTTTATTGCAACGCCAGCTTAGTTTTATTGCTTGAGCCAAGGGAAAATTGGAAGGAAATATTAATGCTGCACTGTGTTTATGTATTTATTATTTGATCGACGGCTGATGACTGGCTTTTCAGATTGCCATCATGAAAATATTATTATATTTCTATTTTATGAAAAAAGAAACGATCATTGTTTTTTCTACCGTTTTCAACTTTGTAACTTTAATCAGTGCATCTTTCTTTTTGGAAGACTCAGGTACGGCATTGATCATCAAAAAAATAGTCACCTTTCGTTACCTGTGATGATTGAATTTATAGTACTTTCAAGGTCTATTGAAGGTCAAGTGGAGAAAATGGAGAACTTCATGCTCGAAGATGTCCTTGGCGATTTTTGGAGCTTGACCTTGGACTCGACCATCAAGGTCAAACACAAATTCACCTTAATTTCTAGAGAATTCTGAAAACTGTAATTCCCAGATTAGTCGACTTCACTGTTATTTCAGGATTGTTGCCTAGCTACAAAAATCGACTTGACCTTCACATTACCTTGACGGTCATCATGAAAGTTCAGATTCTGTATAGCTTCGTGCTGGATTGCGACGTTGCTGATTGGTCGGTATTGTCGGTCGGGCATCGTTGGACTATGGATGATTGTGTGAGCCTGTTTGACTGACCCGATCCATTTAGTTCCTTTTTTATAGATATTCGTGGACAATTTTTCCTGTAATAAATATAATCCCTTATGAATTGATAACAGCGTTGCGTATGAAGTGCCGGCTCAACCTACTCGACGCCATTTTGTTTATAAACATCTTATTCCCATTACAAACGCAACCCTGTGTATTTTCTCTCCAATCTTGACAGGGCTCGCATTTCTAAATTCCCATCATCCTCGGTGCTGTACTGTGTACGTGTGTATATTTACAATGAAACTGGAGACGCGACACCAACACCATCGCCAAGATTTATTTACTGGAACGGGAAAAAAGTTAATTAGAGACAAAAATCCAGTTTATTCAATTTGTCATCTCGCCCGGAGGAAACGGAACGGACCAGCATCTTCCGGAATGAACGGGAGAAAAGAATTATGACTTCGTTACAACCCGGCGATGTTTTTATTTACTTTGCTCTGTTGTGAAAAATAAAACGGGACAGACACTGAAGGGGTGGGGTGAATTCTTATTGGAAGCGAATGGCAAATGGATGGTATTATTCTACGTTCAGACTGCTTTAGGTTGCTTTTATTTGAATTTAATGAATATCTTAATACAAAATGGCCTCCACCAAGAAATGAAGTCAAATAATTCGCTTCCCTTTTTATGGACCAACGTTAATTACAATTAAGTATATTGCCCGTTTTGCATTGACAATAAATCCGTGGATTTTTACATAAATGAGTTCATGACCAATGTACTAAGCACAAAACATATGGGATTTGACTACCAGTCAATTTTGATAAAAATACACGTAGTGATCGTTCATGCTGTGCTGATCAAATGTTTCAATGGGTACAACGCCCAGAAATGCTTTCAGATGGAGATATAGGGTGTTGAAGTTTGGTGCCTTGGCTGCTATTTACGGAAACCCACTCGTATTTATTGTAGACTTATACAGGGTGGCGCATCGAAAACGAAACAGACGCATTTACTGGCAGCTCAGCTTTTTTTTTTGGAAAAATGCTCAGGCAGGTCGATTTTGTTTTCGAGGGGGACACAAGTTTGGCAAAAAATCACGTTAGCACGTGCAGCCCCCTAAGCGGGGGTAAAACCACCCCCAAAATCTTAAATGGAAAGCGGGGACGAGTGATACCTTATTTTAAGGGTCTTTCAATTCCCTTTATAATGATATAAAATTAATGTAGTTCAGTTCAGTGGTTTTGAAGATTTATTGATTTAAAGCTTAAATAAAACTAATACATCATCATTAGTGGAGATCAATACATTTGGCAGCAAAGTAGTTTAAAAATGAAGAATGAACATATTTATTGCTAAATTATTGCGTTCTTCAATTATTACATTAATTTTCTCGGACAATAGAACGGATTTTATTTTTTTACTCAAAAATGGCGCATCGAAGGAAAGCAATTCAAGAGAGATAATTTGTTTTAAATTTAACGGGCAATTTAAGAAAAAAATTTATTTGGCAAAAGACCATTAGCGTACCATTTTTTTCTTGAAAAATATCGAAGTCAATACCCGTACGTACGCCAGTGTTAAAGCTAAAAATTATTTTTGTATTGAAAAATATGCAACTTTATTAACTTCCACTACGTACTAAATATCAGTGGAACATCTGAAGGCGTTCTAAAAATATTAACTCATTTCCATTTTTT